GTGTGGATGTGACACGGAGGGACGTGGTTTGGTGATGGGACTTGGTAGGTCAGGTTGACGATCCGACTTCATGACCTTGAAGGTCTTTTCCAACCTAAATGATTCTGTGACTCTTTTATTTTCCCATTCTGTTTGGAGAAGGCTGAATGGAAATCAGAGAGATGAGAACAAGGAAGGCAAGGAGACTGTTGAGCATCACTGCTCCCCACCCTGAGGTGGGATGGGAATGGGAGTGGGATACCACACAGGATTTTTAGGGGGCATATGTGGAAGTGGTGGGCAGCAGTCCTGGCAGGCATCTGAGTGAGCCAGGGCAGCGTTTTAGTGCCAGTCTCCATGACACTTTCTCCAGCAATTACAGTGAGGACACACGATGACCATCCACACACCTTGGTTACATTTCTAAGACCAAACAGGAGAAATCCTGGCTACCTACCAGCCTTGAAGGACAGATGAGCTGTACCATAAAGTGATCCTTTCCTGCTGGAATCCCAGTGCAATGGGAACATCTAGTGTCCAAGGGGAAATTCTGCCTCTATGAAATACCTCCTGAGAGTCCAGTGAAATAAAATCTCAGCTTTTCCACAGCTGCATCTGCACAAAACCCAACAGGATCATTGGACCTCTGAACAGTCAAAGCTAGCTCACACAGGAGCAGTGAGTAGTTTGAAGATAAATATCACTATTCCTTGGTCACATAAGTATTGTGTTGTTCTTCAATACTCATTTCACAAGACATCTTTTAATATAAGATCTTTTCTTCAATACCAAATACTACATGGAGCAGAGCAATGCCCAGAAAAATTGCTGCATCATGAGTTGGGGAGTCCTAAGCAAAGAGAATGGGCAATTTTTAAGGACTTTGTTTTGATTTTCCCTGTCTTATTCAAGGAAATACTTCACATGTACGTAGAGCTTAAAAAAAAAAAAAGTCACAATGAAAAATAATGCCTCCTGATTTTTGGTGCAAGACGGTCAAGGATAAAAGGAGGAACTTGTGGACAAGGTACTGTACTGAGACTTGGGCAACTACTTCCACCAACAACTTCTTAATAGCTCATCTGAGATTAATGCTGTTCATACTACAGTGACAACCAAAGACCCGCTGTGCTGGGTGTTTACAAATGAGCAGGTGATTTTATGTCCCAAAGCTTTACCATTAAATAACTTACAGACAGGCAAAGGATGAACTGTAACACCCAGTTGACTGCATGAGAACCAAGGCACAGAACATTTCAATACACATGAAAGATCACACAACGAGTTCCTGATCGTACTGTGACTGAATATAAATTTCTGTTAATTATCAAATTTGCACACAGAAGTTCCTCCCTCTCATGGGAGCAAACAGTTTTCCTCTTCATCACGCTGTTTATGAAGATTAGCTCAACAAAGTAAAAGTACTGGATTGGAGATGCTCTCTATAAAATGCCCATTGCATGAAGCCACTGCCTGAATGATAAGGGAGAGGAAAGAAGATAAAAATAATAAGAACAGTTAAGACTGTATTTGCTGTAAACTGTCTATAGGTATGAAAAAGACCAGCTACTTCTCAACAAAATCAGGTGTGGGATAGTGCAATATGCCACTGTCTGGGAAACGGAGCTTGAATATTAAACAAAAGAGGGAAAAAAATCCAGATCCACAATGACTCCTGTACTCCAGAAAAGATTTGAATAAAATTGTGCCCCTGTCATGTTTAAACTGGTAAGGACATAGATGGTACTGGAGGTTTGAGTGTACAAACATGTAGCATGTGACTATGGCAGGAGCATGAACTACCCTACCCTACTCTACCCTACTCTACCCTACTCTACCCTACCCTACCCTACCCTACCCTAAACTTCCATAGAAAACAAGCCAGGGCAGGTCTGCAACTCTAAGGTAGTTGCCTGTAATTGTTCATCCCATCAAAAGCAAAAGTCAAGAACCATAAATGTCTTCATTTATCACAGGATAATAATAGTAATAATAAAAGAAGACAATAGGAGCAGCTGACCTGTTGAAAGGTCATGGGGTAACACCAAGGGGATAGGTCCTTGGCTTGCTTTTCCACCAGGAGGAAAGGGAAGCTGAGGACAGCAAAATGTGGCATCAAACCTGGGGTCTTATTGTCATTTATTTCCACCCCCAGTGCAGCAGTTCACTGGAAGACTGGAATTTATAAAATAGCTAAAAACTGAACTGGATCCAGTTGTTGAGCTGAATATTTGATCTGTATGGATAAGAAAAAAGAAGCTCACAGAAATACATGCTCATTGTCTAAACTAGAAGCAAAATGTTAAGCAGCAAGGGTTTTACAAGCCTATGATAAACATTACATGATGAGAAGCCTCATGCATTACAAGATGGTTTTAATCCTCCCTGTGCTTCAGTCTTCTGTAAAATTTGTGTCTTAGTCTTCCTTGCAGGGTGATCCTTAACAAACCTGTTGATGGCTTAAGATTCTTAGCTTTTTTAGGATGGTAAAGAGATGAGAAACGGTGATATTGGCATGTTATAGGTAAGCAACTCGAACACCAAGGGGAAGGACCCTCTTTTTTCGGCTGATACAAAGGGTGCGTGCCCAAAGCAGCGAGCATGAACTCTGAAAGAGAGGATTTGAATTAAGACTACTGCCAGCCAACTGCACTGCCAGAAACAAAACCTCGTCAGACGGAGGGCAGATCTCCCACCTCAGTTTTCCTCCTTCCCAAAGCAGCCTCATCCCACCCAGCACAGATTTCCTTCTCCAGAAATCTCAAGTGCCATTTCCCTTCTCCAGGCTGACATAACCCAGTCCTCCGACGCTCAGCCTTCGCTGCCAGCTCCTGATGAATTCTCAGCCACTGAGAGCAGAGTCTACACCCAAACCTACACCGTCCTTCCCAGAGGCAAGAGCCCAACTGCCCTCCCTGCTCCTTACTGTCTCACCCCCACGAGCATCCTTGTGGTTCGATGCTCAGACTGTCACCAGAAAAGTCAGGGCAGCTCTTGCTCTGTGGGATTTTCTTGAGAAGCTAGCGTGCTGCCTGCTGTAAGGCGATAGTTTACGATACCATCATCCAGTTGGCTGTTTTCAGCCCTTTTTCCCCTCAGCCTGAATGATCCAGGATGTAATTAAAGTCTTAGGAAGCGATCAAAAAAAATCACAATCACGCCTGAACTCCGGCTTCTTAATTTTGGTGTTGAATACTTTAACCCCTCTGCTGCCAAAACATAAAAGGGTTAAAATCCGCGGGTTTAACATTAAACCACTTGACAGAAGCCAGGCTGAACTTTTAAACCATTAAGCAAACACGGTTCCACTTCAAACAGGAGGCAGCTTGAAGCCAGGGCGCTTGTTTTGCCATCGGTGCACGCTGGCTCCCACGCAGCTGGCCCCAGGTGCTGGATTTACCTTGACGAGGCAAAATGCTCACCCGGCGACTGCTCGGGCTCACTGGGCTGGGATGAGCGAGAGGATGCTGTGCTGCTGCCACAGGCAGGTGGACAAAGCAGAGATACCACTGCCCACCACCCTAATAGCTAAATGCAGCCCCTTTCTCTCCCAAACGCTGCTTTCAAGCCCTTTTGCTCCATTTCCTTGTATGAGGGGCAAACCAGTTGTCTCAAAGCACAGGCTTTGGAAACACAGACAGCTACTACAAGGCTTTAGTTCAATTAGCTGCCTGAAAAAGCTGCTTACAGCACCCGTCTGAGGACTGCAGGGCACCATGCAGAGCTCCCATGCAGAAATACATTTAAGCTCTGGTTATTTCAGGCCCAATCATCACTGACACAAACAGACACCAGATTAAAACCTGACCCTATGGTACAGCCTGATCTAGTTCTGTTCTGCACGAGCTGAAAAGCCTTTCCAAGTAAAACCTTTAAGATTAGACTCTCCCCTTGTATTGCTTTTATATTATGTCCCCACTTTTCACATCGTAGTAAAAGACATGCAAAGACCTTATAAATTGTTTATGTAAAAGGCATAAATTATCTGAAAAGTATGTTTTTAAGCCTCATGTAGGTAACAGTTGCCTCAGAGAGGAATCGAGGACAACAATCTTGTTTTGCATTTACAGGCTGGGAGAGGAATGGTTGGAGAGCTGCCAGGCAGAGAAGGACCTGGGAGTGATGGTGGACAGTCGGCTGAATATGAGGCAGCAGTGTGCTCAGGTGGCCAAGAAGGCCAACGGCATCCTGGCTTGTATCAGAAACACTGTGACCAGCAGGGCTAGGGAGGTGATCGTCCCCCTGTACTCGGCTCTGGTGAGGCCGCACCTCGAGTACTGTGTTCAGTTTTGGGCCCCTCGCTACAAGAAGGACATCGAGGTGCTTGAGCGGGTCCAGAGAAGGGCGACGAAGCTGGTGAGGGGCCTGGAGAGCAAGTCCTATGAGGAGCGGCTGAAGGAGCTGGGCTTGTTCAGCCTAGAGAAGAGGAGGCTCAGGGGTGACCTTATTGCTCTGTATAAGTACATTAAAGGAGGCTGTAGCGAGGTGGCCTCAAAGAGGAATTGAGGACAACAATCTTGTTTCGCATGCTACCTGCTGCATCTTCCCCACATAGTGCTGGTCCAGATCTGTGATGCTTTTTGGAAAACATCACTTGGGTTTGGAACTCAGGATTTTCTAAGCATTTTTGGCTATAACAGAAACAAAATCCCTGTAGTAAGAGAAGTTTTGACTGGAGTAAATCCTCTATTCGGGAATCCTCACATTGGGATGTATCCAGGCAGTTCCCAGCCCACTAAGACACTAAGAGCTGGAGCAGCTCCTGGGCACCAGTCCCCATGACAGGGCACCAACCACCACGTGCACTGTGCTCACGTTCACCCAATTCATTGTCCAGCTGCTGATGGCTGATAAGTACAGTGATAATATTTTGCTTTTTATTTTTTTAATAAAAAGAAAGCATCCTGTCCTAAAATACAATCCTGTGCGAAGTTTTACAGAGTTCTGTTTCACGGTATGACAAAGGAAAGGACAGAGCATTTGTCATCACTTCCCAGCCAAATGAATTCAAGAGAGGAGACCACTATTACAAGGTATTTAATAAGAAACTACAGAATGGAAGTCCTCCAGGCATGTGAAATTCGGCTAGGCAGTACAGCTCTAAAATGGGGCGCTTCTTACAAACCACATTACAACTTTGTTTTAGCACGGACACAGACTAACACAGAGTACTGAATCAGATGCAGGAGTTAGAGATAGAAACGACAACAATAAAAATATGGCACAAAGAATGCTACACTCAACGATGTGTAATTAGCATTTACTTTTGGCAGTCCTGATCCAGACTAATTCAGTGTAGAGACCCACTCCCAGTCAGCACCAGGTTCAGTTAGCACACATTTTGTGAAAAGTATGTTTGTAACTTCATAGTTGTGTAAACATACGATCCTTTCACAGTAAAACAACAGTGATTTGGGTATCAGAAACAAACAAGAATGAGAACAGACAGTGTTTTATTTCACAGTACATAGTGTGTATGTATATATTCACCATATTCAGCAAATAAGTAAAGTGCATGCCAGTAACAACTTGGACTGAAAATGAAGGACTTGCAGTGCAGAAGTACAATTTCCTCAAGTTCTAACAAACTAATCTGAAGTAATACAAAGCAAGGTAGAGTAAGGTCTTGAAAACAACACTGTAATCTACCACGTATTTCTTTAAAAGGCTGTGTTACTCTTAAACAGCAAAATTTCACATCAGCTATCAGTGAATAGACAGTTCAAAGCTTTACGAGTTAAAAATATTGCACCAACAGGGTTATGGGTTGTATTTGAAAGCAATACAAGATATTTTTTTTTTATACAAAACCATAAAAAAAATAAATTACAACAGCTACTTTGAACAAAGCAGCTGGTCAACAGTAAGACTTGATGAAATGTGCAGTGAACAGCAAGTCTGTCTTTTGGACTAGATGATCCTAGAGGTTTTTTCCAATCTAAATGATTCTATGATTCTATGATTTGGATTACCTAGAATCCCTCCTACCTTGTATCTGCCAAGTTAGGAAGGGAAAAGGTCTCCACTGTCCTGTAGTCTCAACAGAGCTAACTGTAAACAAAACCTGTTAGAGAACAATTGGCAATATTCCCTTTTTATTTTAAATAGACAGGGCTACAAGAAGTCTTGAAATGTTTCATTACCAGTTAGTGCAAAGAAATAATAACCACAAGACAGGCAGATGTCTTACAACTGCAAATGTCACAGATGTCTACGGCTCCAGCCATAGGTCCCTCAACCTATGAACCTGGCGTAGATGCACAAAAAACAGATGACGCTCCCCACAACACATGAAGTTCCCATTTGGAGAGTCAAACATCTGGGAGATCCCTGGAAAATGAATGTACAGAGAAGCAGGGGTGCAAGAGACCTTCCACCACCCTCCATCAGAGATGTGGCAGCCCAGCTCCCACCAGGTAGTTTGGCACCACGCTAAACAAACACCGTGTTCATGATGCTCTGAGGACAATGCTATTGCCAAAAATATAAAACCACTGTGTGCAAGTGAGAGGTGCACACAGTGCACTCCAAGAGATGTACTGAATAAATTCATCCATGAAGAAAATCGCTTCCTTCACTCCAGAATCAATTCTTTCCCTAATTGTGTGAGGAAGGGAACAGGGGAGGAATAAAAACAAATAAAAAGGTGCAGATGATCATCAAAGATCAGGAATCCCTTTTTGGGGACACTTATTTTTTATAAGTGACTTAAATTAGGAAAATATTTATCCAACGGGGGGGAAAAATGAGAACTGTTCCTTAAGTTGGTGTCTTTACCAATACATGGACATTACCTAAACTTTGCTGACTTCCCAGGACACGGCACAACAGACATCTGTGGCCACTAAGCCTTCACTATTCTTATAAAATTTCTGGGTACACTAAAAACGTGATCGAAACCTATTAAAACTACTTGCTCAGTGAACACAAGGTTTTATCACCATCATTTACTCACCTCAGCATTAGCTTGCAAAAAAAAAAAAGCCTCAGTGACTTGCAGTTGGACATCTGGCCCTTAGTTCAGCTATTAACTATTTTCAAGAAAGACCTTGAGAGAGAATTAATAGGCTGTAATCACCTAAAGTAGTCTCACATGCAGCTCATTTCACTTCTTTGTTACAATAAAAAAAAAACTTTCAAAAGCAACAACATAAAAAAAAAAAACGCGTAAAAGTTCATTTTGATGAAATCGCATCCCCTCGTATTTACAGATTTTCTGTAGTAAAGAAGCCACTATCATTGTTTCACCACAATTAAGAGGCTTGACCTTTTTAATCCTAAAGCAGCCGTCAAAACATCATCCGAGTCTGGAAACATTTTCAGAACTATCTGAAACTCGACATCACCAGGACCGTATTCCAGACCGTATTGCAACAGCTCCCACAAAAGTATGTAAAGTAAACAGTCTTTAAAAACACAATTCCCTGCTCCCCTCTTCCTCAGTGGTACCGTCCCCATTGACTCCTGGGGGTGCTACGTTAGTTTCTTCATCCTGCGGTTCTGCTTGTCGATGTTCATCGTCGCTCGGTCCACAGGAGGTAGTGATGGAATCGAGAGCTTCGTCCTGCCTCTCCAGCTCTGCTTCTGTCTCCAAGGCGAGGCTCTTCAGCTTCTGCAGTATCTGTTGGGAGAAAAGGCCGAGAGCTTTGAGCGAACGACCAGCCAGTTATTTAAGAAGTGTAATAGACAAAAGGCAACTGGTTATTTCTTTGCTCTAAAGGACTAAATAATTTGAAGTCATGCCCTGAAGCATGCTGGAGGCATCCCGGATTAAAAGACAGAGTTTTTGCTCTGCTAAGCTGAAGTGGGATGTGTAACAATGCACTGAAGACCAGAAGAACCAAATCTGAAAAGCTAGGGTTTTATGGGAAAATCAGAAACAAAAATCAGTGTAAAGCTCAGCTTCCTGGCTGTTCTTTTATTATCTCCTTGGCAGGTCTGCTTCTAAAGCAGGAGCTTGTCCTAAGATGCTGCACACCCCGCGAGCATGATGTGGACACAGAGCACAGCTGTTACAATGCCAGAAATGAATCACACGGCGAAAGATGTAGCAAGATTAGGCAGAAATCAGGTAAAAGAACATAAAAATTGTTTAAATACAGGGACCTTTGAAGTCCAACCTCCCACCAGCCCAGGCTGCCCCCAGTCCCATCCAGCCTGGCCTTGGGCACTGCCAGGGATGGGGCACCCACAGCTCCTGGGGACAGCCAGGGCCTCACCACCCTTATAATAACCACCCCCAGCCTGCCAGCTGCACTTCTTTTGATGCAGCCCAGGATACAGTTGGCTTTCTGGGCTGCAAACATGCCCTGCCAGCTCATACCCAATCTTCCATCCACCAATCTTTTTATCCACCAGCACTTCCAAGTCCTCCTCCACAGAGCTGCTCCCAATCCATCCATCCCCCTATGTACTGATGTTAGGGATCGCCCTCATCCAGGTGTGTCCATCCAGCCAAATCCTTATCCACTGAATGGTCAAACAAAGACCATGGTCAAGATAAAGATGTTTTGGACCGTGTCAAAGGTCTAACACAAGCCCAGGAAGATGGTATCTGTTGCTTTTCCCTTGTCTGCTGATGCAGTCGCTCCACCACAGAATTGGTCAGGCAGGATTTGCCCTTGGTAAAGCTTTGCAGGCTGTCTAAAGTCACCTCCTTGTCTTCCATATGCTTTAACATTGCTTCCAGGAGGAGCTGTTCCATGATCTTCCCAGGCACAGAGGCGAGGCTCGCTGGTCTGTGGTTCCCCAGGTCTCCTTTCTACCCCTTTTAAAAATGGAAGTGATGTTTCCCTTTTCCCAGTCACCAGGGACTTTCCCTGACTGCCAGGACTTTTCAAATAGGATGGAGAAAGGGTGTTTTTTTTTTTTGTATTGCAGCAATCTAAGGCACGAGTTATATCGCTGCCTTTTCTTCCCTCTTGTGGCTACTCCCTTAACAATCCTGGTAGCAGGAACTGAGAGCACCTGCTAGGCAGGCAAGTCTCCGCTGCCTTCCTTCAAATGCATCAGGGGGAGATCTGGAAAGCAGAGCTACATCACGTTATAACAGCTGGAAACACAGCCTCGCAGTTCCTTCAGATCATAAAGGGGCTGTCTCTGCTGGTCTACACGATCTGCTTCCTTTAGCATCCACACAGGGGTCCATGAGGTCAATGTGAGCAGCTCATCCCATCAACTGCAGTGATAATCTCAATTATCACTCAAGGATCAACAAATTCTCCCAGCACTAGCAGTCTACACCATCAGTTGCTGTGATGCATAAGGATCTATGTAACGACACTGAAGATACCAGAACTAAAGTCCGTGGAGTTCACAGAAATACATGTTTTTTGCTAAAATAGGGAGAAGAAATTGTCCTCCACGCACCCATTTATTTTACTTTTTTTTTTTTTGCATAACAACTGGCAAACGGTTTTCTTGGTTTTCATAGAATCACAGAACAGTTTTTCTTCTACAAATACATCACAGCAACAGTTTATTCTCCTACAATACGTATCAGTCCACAGAAAGCTGCCATGAAACATCACCAGCCCCATTTCCACGTGTGGGGCTGAACTCCACTGCAATCCCACCGTTTGCAGCTGGGTCAGAGAAAAGCAGCGAGGAGCACCGTATCTAACGGGAACGGCAGGGGAATTTTATGCAGACAGACTTCTTTGACTGGAGCTGGACGTCAGCCACCGTAGTGAGATTTATCTTGTAAAATATCTCTCGGCTCCTTCCATAAATCACAAGTGGCCAGAAATACGGCTGTGTGAATAACTGCTTTTGCAATTTGGCTGCCAAAGCAGAAATACAAAGCAAACCATGGATCAAGCCTAATCTACCTATTTCTGTTCTTACCAAAACTACAAGTGAAGAAAACACTGTTTCTGTCCCAAATGAAACACTTCGGGTTCTTTTCGCTGTAACGGCGAAACTTGTTGCTGAAGTGTTACTTGTCACTGAATTCCCCCAACTGGAGGTAACAGATGCGTGTGGGATACGCACCAGAAAGAAAAATGACGTGATCAGATCCATCCTGTGCGTGAGCCAGGAAACAGGGCTGAGATAAGGTCCTGCCTCTCCTGAGGAAGTACGTTTACTGCTTGGAATTGGGAAGAGCTCTAAGTCCTCCCTTCAAGCTGCTTCTGCAAGCATATGTATAAATACATAAAAGAAAGTGCTACAAGGAATGAATCCTACCAAGCAACACGGACAGCAGCCTTGCTTTCATTGTGCCACAGCATAACAAAGACTGAAAGAGAGCTCTGGGGTCCTCCTGGTCCACTTCCCTGACTCAGAGCAGAGCCAGCTCTGATGCTCAGCCGACAGAAAGAATTACAGGTTGCAATCTCCACTCGAAAAAATACTTTAAATCTCTGTGCTGCTTTAAGAAAGGAGAGATTTTGCTCCTCCAGCATACCCTGCACCATTTGCAGAGTGGCAGGTTCTGCTGTCCAAAGCAACGTCCTCACGCACACCACCTTATTTTGTGAAATCTGTTGAGTGCAGAAGATAAGTGCAGAAGATAAGTGCACGTAGCTTCCTCCAAGACACCTACACAGCAAGGGGGGGCTGCCACAACAGGGTGCAGGAAGGGATGCAGCCCCTTCCCACCTCTCCAAGAGGCACTCCATTCATTTCCGAGTCAATGTTGTGCCACAAATGGCTCAGGTTTGCCATGAAAAAGTTTCTTTTTAGTTGCAAACCCAATGACTTTTGATAAACTTTGCATTCGTTCAAGCAGACTTCTGGATGAAAATACAGAAAAAGACACAATTGTTGAGAAGAGAAAAGGAAACAGGTAAGGTGCTTTTCCAGCAGAGCCCACAGAGCTTGCTGGGAAGAGTTAATAGAATCTGAAACATGGCCAAAGCTGGTCACTGTTTTTGCAAGGCTAAATGTTGGTGAGATGTCCAGTCCTGCCAGCTGCTCAGAGCTGCAGCACCTTCCACACCAGCCCACACTTTGGACCATGAACCAAGACACAAAATCGCCATGTGAAACCCTTTATCTGTTACACAGAGCCAAAGAGCAGGTACAAGCCCATCAAAGACACATTTTAAAGGCACATTTTGCCAGGCACTGGTCAACCTCACCTTGAGACAGCCTGGGATTTATGCCACCAGATTATAATTTGGAAAGTCTGATTTAGTGCCCTGGCTGTGCCCAAGATTTTCTGAGCAACTTCAGGCAAGTTCCTGAATATTCCCCAGGTTTTCCCCCTTTAAAGCTCTGCACTTGTGTTCCTTGTCTCTTCAGGATGTTAGCAAATAAGGCTGTAAAACAGAAACGTGTCCAATGTTCGACCACAGCAGATTTAGGCCTTGCTGGGCCTAAAACTGAGATGGGCCATTACAACTGAGATTGTGACTCCTCTGCTGTGTTTCATTAATCTATCTGCTTAAGGAGAGGTTAGAGTAATGCCCAGTTCCCCTTCCTTTGGCTGAAGTAGGATCTGAGATGCCCAGCTCAGCTGGAACCAAGTGCAGTGCAGACACAGCTGGAACGACAGCAGAGGACCCCAAGCCCCACGAACCTCCTCAGTACTTAACCCTATTATTTACCCCTTTGCCAGATCACCTGAAGACCTAGACCCAAGGCACCAAGCACAGTAAAGCAGAAATTGTACCCTAGAGGTCTTACAATGGAGACCTGACTTTGGTTTGGGTCCTGAGATGCCATTGTTAATAATGCAATTTTTAATCTAAAGCTTGTGAAATATCACCTAGCACCTCCATATACCGAGTATCCAGTGGTAAAAATAAAATAATGAAAGTGTGAAAATGCAGAAAATATTGCCAATTGTAGTTTGAACTCCCTGAAATCCTCCATTAAATTGCTTCAGTTGGCCTGTGCAAATCAGATGAGGTCTGAATGCTAGAGCAGAGCACATGTAACCAGAAAAGGTTCGTGGATGCAGCCTCCCAGGCCAAATTCACCTGTTATTAGGAAACAACGAACTGTCCTTTGCAGTATTCTGAACTGTGGTGCAAACAGGCTCTGAGGTGGATGATTTAAGGCGTTGCTTCATCTGGGTGCTGAACATATTTCAGGAGAGCAAGAAAGTGGGACAGTACCTAGGAAATCCCAACTCATAGTCCCCTGATAAGCTCAAACCCACATTAGGGACTGAGTGATCAGCACTGAAACGATAAAAGGGTCGTCCACCTGTAGACAGGCTGTGGGCCAGCAGGGAGCAGCACCACCTTACACCACCACAGCATAAGCCTCTGGAGGAGATTTGGTGAAGTTAATGCCACAAGTGTAACTTACCCTAATAAAAATGTAAGGATTTGCACTGCTTTAGCACTCCTCCTCTTTGGGTAGCTTCTGTTTGCTGCCATCAGTGCTTGTTTACACATTTTTTTCTGCCTGGTTCAGAGTTGCATTTGTGTGAATAACCAAGCTCTACACCAGCCACAGCAAAAGTGCTTCTGGCTGCTCTAGGGAAAGGGGGTCTCTTGTAGCACAAAACTGGGAGCTGCAAATGCTGGAATGGGTAAGTCTGCCAGCACAAGGGGGTCTCCTCTGAAAGGCACAATGGTACAGAGATTTTATAGCATCAGCTCCTAGGGAAGCATAGAATGGTCACTACTTCCTCGTTTATTGTTACCTGCTTTTCCTGTTATTTCTTCTTGGGCTGACACCTATTTTTAAACAAAATGGTTTTCTTCCAAATCTGAATTTTATCTACTTTCTCTACTAGCACCAAGGACTGACGAGGCACTAGCACACCACCAGACTTGCCTGGAAAAAAAAATGCTCAAGCAGCTGTGACAAAAACAGTTTCCCAGGCTTTATTACCACCATTTATTTTGCTATCACAAAATATTTAAGTTACACACAAGCAAATACAGAGCGTGAGCTGTGAGGACCTCAGTTCTCTCCCCAGATTGTGCCTTCAAAAAAACAAAATCCAGGGCACGATCATTACACATGTCTGTTAAGATCAGCCGCCCGGTGCTTGCTATTGGCCGTGGAACAAGGCCATGCTATGAGCAAATTTGGTATTTAGCACTTGGAGCGAACGGTTCCTCAACAAAACGCTTTTTCTCTGACCTAACGGTTGTGATTTCCTGAGATGATGGCACGATAAAAGGGTAAATAAACACTGAATGTAGCAAGAGATGGAAATGGAACCTTCTAGACCTGAGGAGACATCGGGGAAGCACCGGAATGTGTTTTTTTTCCCCCCCCAGATGTTGTGGAATTAACGACTTTAACGCTATCTCCGTCTTCATGGCATGTGTGATGTGCAGACACAGTAAATATCAGGGTAACGGCTCTTTGGCAGGAACCCGTGAGGAAATTAGAAAGCACTGGTTTGGCAAAACAATTTCAAATCCAGCGAGCAGAACTACTCCCCCTCCTCGACCACAGCCCTTAAGCTAATATTATCCCACCCCCTCCCACACCCAGTGCCATTATGTCAGCCGCAGCGAGGCGGTAGGCAGAGGCTCAGCCAGAGACCACAGGAACTCCATAGGCTTCTTCCTCCACCTCTTATAGCACAGTTAGGGACGGAGTTTGTGGCAGCGTGAGCTCTGCTTTTAACAGAAACAGCCCTTCACCATGTCCCGGAGACGTCTTTTATTCAGGCACGAAGTCACAACTGCACATCGTTCAGGGCATCCAGCTTTAAAAGAAGGAATTTGGTATAATTCAACAATTCCTGTTGCAAAACAGCTATTATCAGCACAGCAAGTGCTTTTCTTTTAAAGGAGAAGAGAGAGAAGTCAACACTCAATCTGCTCATCACAAACTCCTCTCTTCCAACTTACAGTTCTACTCATCTTATAAGAAGTAATGAGGGGAACAGAGCCAAGCTTTGGGGGTTTTGTGCTTTTGTTTTGGTCGTTGGGTGGGTTTTGTTTTTCTCTTTTTTAAACAAATGTTCACGCTACTGACAATTGGAGAATAAAAGGTCATAAACAGTCCTCGAGAGATGAAACTGCTCAGAAAAACAGTTTGCAGTCAAACACAAGGACTTCCAACAGCCTTAGTTCATTCACAAGGAGTGATGCCACAAGTGGCATGGTTTTCAGTGCACGTTAATGCTTTTAATATTTAATATTTATATTAATATTTTAATATTTTTTAATATTTCCCCCCCTTTGATCTCTAAATGCTTTCCATTAGTAATTAATCATCATCCTGCTCATACTCAGCACAGGAACTGAGCTGGAAGCAACTGCAGAAAAGACAAGCCCCTGCTGCAGGCTGAGATGATGATACATCCTATTTATTGATAAGCCACGTTTTTGGGGAGAAAAAAAAGGGTTTAAGCAGCAGGCTACAACCTCAGCAAAGAGTATCCTATAACCTAAATCACAGCTGACTTTGTAAGGCCACACAGTTGGAAACCAAGGGTCCCGTTTCTGTGCCCTGCTTTACTGATGGACTTCACCTGCTTCCAGCTACAGCTAGACTTGGCGTGGCAAATTTAACTTAAAATAAAGCCTTGATATGGACTTAGATAACCATTAAATGTCTTGCTCAGATGTAGTTTCAAGACCTCTGCTTCTCTGACTGCAGGTGGTACAACACCTGAAGGCTTTTGTGGTATTTATTTATCACGATGCTGCCCCTGAACCTTGCTAGGACACATCCCCAGCCTCCACACCTTTCAAATCCACGTTTACCAGCAGGCACCCACCCCTTTGATCCCACATCCTTCCACTTTCTTCTCCTCTAAACCTCCCCACAGAGTTACTTGAGCTCCAGAGCATCGAGAAAAAGCAGTGTTTGGAGAACTCCTGGGAACAGCTGGAGAAAAACACCAGCCTGTACGGGATGAGAGGCTTCGCTCCCCATTCACATCACTTGTTGGAGGATGCTGAGCTCCCCTGTCCTACGTTTCCTCTGATTCTCTTGTCGCAGCCAACTGCTTTGATATTATCAAGAACTGACCACGGCTGTTTGCTGTTCAGCTGTTCCCAACTGGCTCCGGGGAAGCAATTCCTAGAAAGCCTTTTTTTTGTTGTTGTTGTTATTATAAGATATAACAAACTGTGGCTCTTCAAAAGTATTACGCGACCAATAACCCTTAATGCAGCATTCAGCTTTTTTGGGTCTGGCTGCAAATCAAGATTTATAGCGGTGAAAAGCTGACATTTAAGAGAGGAACAACTAGCCCTTCTGAATACTTAATAGCTGTACACGGCAACGTATGCATGAATGACAGATTGATGATATTTGTACAACTACGATTAAAAAATACCCTTCCCTAAGATCCTCCAAAAGGTCAACGCTGCTTCAGAAAGTGCTGATTTTTTTTTGATAAAATGACAGATCGTGGTGATAAGCTCTTTAACTGCTCTCCCTTCTCGTCTTTTAAAGTGTTAAAAGCCCATTCTGATTTTGAAAAGGTGCAAATTAGATGTTTCACTCAAAAGACCTTGCTTTCTTAACCAAAATACAACCAAGTTTCAGTCTACAATGGCACATTTACATGGTTATTTCTAGTAAGGAAAAGAAACAGCAGTTTAATACATATTAGTGCATGTACTCTAAAATTATTAATGACTGCAATGACGATTAAAAAGGTCTGATTCTCAGGGAACAGGTGCTCAGTAATTACTGGAAAAAAAATCAGGCCAACTCATAGGCTGTTAATTTGGCATTCAGAATCTCTCCCCACCCTTCCCAACCCACAAGTTTACCCCAAATCATTAACTGGTTTAAAAAATTCTTGGCTTGGTGAGGTATAAATAAATACCAGAATTGTCTCTTGGGCTCTAGTCAATCCTGAAGTGTTTTGTTTTAAGTAACACTGGCCATCTAACACTGCTTCTAGTCCACCATCCAGCACGGAATTTCTGCAGAAATCCCATTTTTCTGACGTTAAACCCTCACTTACCCAAATATATTTTTGGTTACTGTTCATAAATATACTTTTTGTGCAAGGAGTTTTATTTTCGAGTCACTTAATTCACTGCTATGTGCTTGTGACTCTCAAATGCACTCAGCTGACAACGTGCTGTGGTCTAATTCCCAACTACAACATAAAAGAAGGGGGTCTGGAAAGCTGCAGGCTTGGCTAAGAGGCAACAGACTTCACAGAGTCTTCACGTGATGCTATGATCAAACTACAGATGGAATATCAACAAGAATTAGATGTTAAGGAAAAAAACAATTAAGAATAAAGTTTAACCTTCAACCACTTGTGATGTGTCTGTGATCACAAGTAAACCTGCTGTAACCAAAAACCTAACACCACGTTCCTTTGCTTTTTCAGTTAGTTCATGTTGCAGATCAAGCACATCCTACAAAGAGGAATTCCACACAAAACAGGTTCTGAACATCAGTTACAAAAGAAATTCCTTAAAGAGACATTTAGAGGCATAATATCACATTAGATTACTTTAAAGCAGATTCTAGCAGAAGCTCCAACTTATTTCCCCTTCTCTGCTGGACTGCACACTTTTTTTTTTTTTTTTTTAACTACAGGTTCTCTCCAGGCATTTATAAAACACTGCTCAGGCTTGTGGGTGAAATAGAAACAGAACCACTGCTTCTTACTAAGAGGAGGAAAATAGAATAGGGGAAACACAGAAAAATATATTAAAAAAAAATGATCTAATTGTTAAGCTTCTTACTCTCCAGGTAAAGCAGGTGAAATGTTAGGATATCCCCAGATTATAGCCCTATCATTTAATATATGTTGCTAATAATCCCCAATTTGTCCAAAATAGTTAAAAACAAATGGAAAGTTATCAGTGTATTTTAAGCAAAGGCTTGACAGGCTTTTTTCTTTTAAGTTTAGCCAGAGGTGTTTGGTTTTGTTTATTTTTAAGGACAGTGACTACATTTTTGATGAAGTAAGAACACGCATGTCAGCGAGGACAAGGAGGGAGAGAAACAACTCTTGTGGAAATTCTCAGCTTATACCTGTTTAAGCTCTTTAGCCTCTTCCTGGGAAACCTTCTCGTGTTTCTGCAGCTGAACCTGGTCGTTGTCCGTCCCTTCTCTGCCTCCCGCCGGCGTGCTGGGCTGCACCACTCCTCCCAGGAGTCCCGTGGCTGCAAGAGAAATTCCCATGGTCAAAGACTGCCATCTCCTGTAGCAGCAAGGAGGAGCGCTGGGATCGAAGAGGTTGACCTGCACTTTGCTACACAGCAGTTTGTAAGAGAAAAAGAGCGCTCGGAAAAGCCAGGTTGAGCCTTGAAGTTCTGCTAGAAAGGGTTTTGAGCCGTTTTGTGCAGTGCCAAACTGGAGGTGACCACACTGCTGAGAAAATTTTAAAGGCAGCACCTGGGGAATGGGCTCACGTGGGGTGTGAAAGCACATCAGAGGCCAGAATTCATTGCCACATCGAAGGGCTGGTGCCCAGCTGGCTGGCAGCAAACCCTCATCTGCTTGGGGCAGCGGTGCCTCTCCATGAAAATGGAGACAAAACTGAACCCAAAGCAGCAAACCTGAAATCCCTCTTAAGTAGTTACTGCAAACTGGTAATCCCCGGAATTATTCGGTTATCAGGCTGAGAGTTGCTGGACTCAGACACCATCGGGGTTTAAGACAAGCAAGGCATTCACTGCACTAGTGGTACAGCAAAGGGCTGAGATCCAGGCACTGCAAAACACCGCTTATGGTGAATTCCTGCTGTGGTACCCCTCAAATGGGAAAATGGGGAGTGGGTGCCATGAAGGCAAACAGCCAGACAAGATTCTTCATGTTTCTTATCAGCCAAGTGTCACTGTACACTAATTATTTAATTAAAGCCACAGAATCTGTGCGTTTCACCCCCATTCATCTCCCTGAGGATGAGAACAGGAGGGGGACACAACACAAGTACACGGAAAGAACTGGACAGGGGCAGGGGATCTGGCATTTCTCAGCAATTTGCTAGCAAAAAAATTATTAAATAAGAGGCAGAAACATTTAAAGTGCAATTCTGTTTAGCTTTGTTACACCCAGTTGGACTGCAGGACCCGCTGCCTCCACGGGAGGATGAAAAACTCCAAAACCTCTGAACAAAGTGCAGGGCAAAACCTGCAGCCTTGGAAGGGATAAAAAAGCTGCAAATACCAATCTCCAGCTATAGGATTAAGACAGCACTGCTCGAGGTTGTTATGCTGCTAACACACTGTAGGATTTCTTGCACCTTTTAATCTCGGGGAGCTGTTATCAGCCGTTATTGGCTAGGAAAGCGCTGGACTTAATCCAGCACAGAAGAGCCTCTGTTAAAAAACAAACCTTGCTGCCCTGTCTTCGGCATTTAAACACTCCACGCAGCTTGGTCCAAAAATAAAGAAAGTCAGAAAACACATGCAAAGCAGCTAAAAATAGTTTGAGATAATCTCGTGTGTATAAAACGCCTTGCAAATTCCCCTTCTATGTGAAATCAAGCCTGAACTCTTGGGAACAAGAATTTTGTTGCACTTTTTTTTTATATAAATGTGCAATACACACAACTTGAAGGCAGGACTCGTATAAACAGCCAGGATTCAGATGAGACTGTGACAGTCGTGGAAATGTCCACGTCTCTGTGCTGCCCAGAGCAGAGAAGGCTTTGAGCCAGTTTGGTGAGCCAGAGGTAGCTCTGCTGTGAGGACGTCTCCTACAAGGCTCTAAATCAACAGGAGCTATCTGAAAACACACATTTTATGTGTGCACAGAGGGAGGCATGCATAAGACAGAGCCTTTTCTCCCCCTAAGCTTCTAGCAAAAAGTTAAAAAAAAAAAAAAAAATCAGTATTTTCACCCTGTAAGCAGCCACAGAAAAAAAAAATAAAAAAAGCAGAGGGTAAAAGCCAGTCCTTGACTGCCATCTTGCGACAGCACACAGGCAGCAGCAGTCTCCAGGGGAGGAACAAACAAGGGTTTTGGTGGAGCTGCAGAAGTCAGGATTTCCATAGCCTCCAGTTTTCTTTCCTGACGTTTCCAAATTAAACAGTCCACATGCAGGTGGGGGTAGGAGAGCAATATCCTTGAATCACTGACTCAGATGCAAACAGAGCAGAGCAGCGGGGAAATTAAGCGCAGTAAGGGCTGTATAACCAATTATTTTATGTAACCAGCCTTAAAGACCATCAGGAACTGAACACCAATTTGCTGGAATAACTCCGTGCTGAAGAAACCAGCAGGTTGTTTTTCCTCTGAAGTTGTTGTGCTGACATTTTAGTGCCAGATGCCCAGAGACTGACTTCCTTCAAAATTAACAAGCTTTTCCAAGCTATGGCCCTTGAAACTCGACGAGAAGAAAACATTATCCTCCCTCCTGAAATCCAGTTTCAGCTTTGTGCACAGAATGAGCTTCATCTATTGTTTTACTGTATCATTTTTCTACTCTTTAACATACTGGGAATAAATCCATCCACTGATTTCCTCTTTGGTCACTGACAATTAGGGGAAAAAAAAAAAAGGATTCAGGTATGTTAATAAATTCCTAATAGACAGCTCTCCAAGTGAATCCAGGTTTGGATTACAAAAATGAACAAAAACCACAGCCCTGCCCAGAATTTTAGGAGCATTAGTAGCTGTAAGGATTTTCATTCCTATTGTTGGTGAAGGGCTTTCAGTCCCTGTGGTGTTTTTCAAAACCACTAAACTATGCGTTCGCCTCATCTGAAATCTAAAAATCTCCTAAATCCAAGCACCTGGAGGTCTCGAATAAAAATCCCATTTTTCATGAAGTGAAAATTAACCTGATGGTTACCTCAATGAGTTATTTAAAAGCTTGCTGAACTGCAGGTCTGTTTTAAGCTTTCTACGCTTAACTGAACGCTGGGTTTTACATGAGATGCTTCCAGCTAAAAGCTGACAAAGGAAAAAGAGCAGTGAGGGAAGACTCGGAAGCGTGCAGTCAGATGAGAGTGAATTCCTGATGGCCCTTCCCACAGAGTGGTACAGTTCTGTACTGGTGACCACTGGAAAAAAGGGCACAGGGTAAAACACAGGAGAAAACTCTCCTTACAAACACCGTGTCCTATTGTGAAGCCAAAACCCACTTGGAAACTTTGGGGAAAGACATTCCTGCTTCTGGATAGCTCGTTTTGTGTGTCACATACCTGCTTGCCAAATGGAGGTGCCCAAATCTACCTGAGGAGACTTCCTGGCACCGACAAATCCTAGGGCATCCTCCAAAAACTGTATCTTCTTGCTGAACTGCATCTCCAAGATGGGGATCGCTTCTGGCATCTTTGCTGAGAGGAGCCTGTACGAGGTGTCAGGCTTCCCAATAAACCTCTGACGGACGCTGATTTCGTACGGCGTGTGAACTTTGATATCGTCCACGTCCTTTGACTCAAACCGGTGAATGACCTGAGCGTTGCAGTCACTGATTTCCAGGCCAGAAGTGAAGAGCGTGAGTTTTCCTGGCTTGACATTCGAGTCTGTTCTGTGGGTGATAATAACTGGAATTCTAATTATGATTCCTTCCTGGTTCTTCGAATCGGAAACTGTGGCAGTTTCCTTTGGCTTGGCTTCCAACGGTGCTTTCCAGAGCTTGCTGCTAAATGGCCACCAAGAAGGAGACTCGAGCTCCGTCAACAACCTAGTGGAGAGAAGAGAGAGTTAGAAGGCAGAGAACCCATCAGAAGGTCGTGCTGCCCCACCAGCTCAAAGCAAGTTACAGCAGATTAAAGATTGTTTGTGTACAGCTAGAAGCAAGAGTCAAGGAGATGCTGGATACGATCCTCCTGTTGGATTTTCAGAGCCTCTCACCTTTTTTGGGGTCCTCTCTCCAGGACCAACATCACAGATCTCACCGGGTGTAAGCCTCACACGTAGTCTTTCCACTGAAAATGATTGGGAATGAGCGGGAAGGTGGTGAATTCGCTTTGATTTCCCACGTGCTGTGCTGCCTACTCGTCAGCATCCCTCTCCACATCTCAGCAAAGGTTAGAGCCAGCATCTACAACACTCAGCTCCTGCCCCTCACCTTCTAATGAGGCCAACTGTGTGTAATAAGGCACTGAATGAAACACTCTCACCTTATTGATGTTAGAGAAGACTATTTACAAACAAAGCCTAAGAAAACCAGCCTTATCAAACCTAAATACAAAGTATTTTTGCTTCCCTATTATTCTGGAGAGCCAGCTGTATTTAATTTGCTTCAAGTTCCCTCTAGAAAGGTACTGCCTGATAAAATATGCGTCGCAGCAGGGCTGCTCTCAAGATACTTTTTGTAATGATTTATTTTCCAGGAGAGACTCAGAGCCGTTCTGCAGAAGACCTTGCGATTTTAAAATCCTGTTTAATTTGGCTGTAAACACAGTCTAATCTGAAAAAGGAAGCTCTAACCGAACGCTTTGTTTACGAGCCATCAAAGCCACGCACCGGCTTCAGAACAGACCTTCTTAAAGAAAGCCAGCTGCTGGGAAAAGCAGAAAAAAGTCACCCTGGGAGTAAACCACCGAATTCACAGACAACGGAGGCAGGATGAATTGTTCCAAGAGCACACTCCCCAGCTACAGCCGGACCTCAGATATTCAGGAGATAGCAAGCGAGATGAGTAATGAGTCTGGGAGCCTCTGCTGCCCTCTGACACCGCTGTGACACTCCTTTAAAAAAAGGAAAGAAGACAAACCAAACGAGACATAACCAAGCTCTACAATAACAGATTCTGAATGGACAACGGTATCACAGATTTAGGGCTGAATCCTGAAATTTTAAGGTTCAACTGAAGTTCACATAGAGACTAAGGGAAAAAAATGTAAGCTCTGCTAGCACACAGCATCTTCTAATTAAGAGCCATGCTTCAACTCACCTGTTGTACCAAAAGAGCAACAATTGACCTGGTATCACTCCCACAAAGTGGGTTTTCTGCCCTCTTGGAGTACAAAAGAGTTACAACAACGTACTTCAGGGCAACGACAGCTTATGCCTGTGTCTTAACGTGTGAAAAGTCATTAAATCCCTAACACAGTACGTGTTCACTTCATCATGAAAAGCACGTGCCTTCACTTACTGAAAAGCAGCTGCGATGTGACAAACCTAAAGCTCTGTTTACACTGTGGTAGCTTATTCCTGACAGGTTTCTAGCCCTAATTTTTAAACACTTTTCTCCCTTCACCCTCCCCTCTTTCCCAAGGGGCTGACATCCTGGCTGTGCAACGTCTGATTTACAGTCGAGATTTTTCGGTTGTGCAGCCCTAACAAAAGCTCCAGCCAAGTTCTCTGCCCTTCCACGGAGGAGTCACCCCTCTGGATCAACAAACTATACCATCAGTCCTCATACACAAATGCAAGTTTGCAACCAGAGCACCTTGTCCTCTGATAGCAATATATTTAAAAGGAGCCAGTAAATCTGATTTTTTGTTTATTTTGGGGTTTTGAACATCTGCTAGCATGTCAGACTCAGCCCTGCTTATCTGCACATGGTTCCACTGAAAGCAGCTGTATATACCCAGGCATATACAAGAACAGAATCCATAATCTAAAAAAGCCCACATGTACAGGCAAGATAAAGTTAATCAAAAACCTTTAAACACATGAAAATAGATAGAGGAGCCTGGTTCTTTTTAGAAGAGACACCACCACCACGCTGCTGTCGCTCGCAACCCTGAATTAACACACCAAAGTTTGGTCCCTCTGCTCACCAGTCTGCCTGTCCAAGATCTGCTGCACATGCCAAACGGTCCTGAATTACATTATCCATGTAATTATTTCTCAGCAAGTTTCTAAAGTAAGCAAGAATTGGAGACAAGAGACATCAGCCTATTTAACTATGTTAATAGGCTGGATTAACCAACATGCAACAATTAAATGGGCTTTGTCAGCGCTCCTCTCCATCTTCTACATCATTAGGAAAAAAACTCTGTGCACAAACTGTGTTAGAAACAGGAGCTAGAATCCCCTGAAAAGCAGACAGCAAGCAAAACAGTTTGCCTAGTGGCTCCTGGGACGTGTTTCAGTCTGTGAGCAGACTGGCTAAGCTCTGCATACTACAAATAAAATAAAATCTCAGCTAACATTTGGTCAAAGTCTATATTTTTTTTCATTTTAAAATCAAAGCATCTGGCTCTTCAGATCCACCAGGACAAATAATACCTCCCAGTGCATCCTAACCCCAAACAAAACCCTCTTCCAAGAACAATGAGCAGGTATTTATTTTCCTGCTCATTGTTTATTGCTGCAGAACTTTAAAAGCTACTGCTGAAGCTTTCTGTTACCTTGGCTTTTCATTAAAGGGCATGGAGAACATCACCACAATCACTGTGAAATCCACGCTCTTTTTTAGACATGATAGCCTTCTAAAAACAGATGCTTCTTCCAACAACAACTGGTTAGAGGTTTATTGTGTTTGTTTCTTTCTGCAGGTGTCAAGAGCTTCCACAAAGACACTTGTGGCTACCTATCTTCAAACGTAACACTGCTGCTCTTAACCTGGCTCTTTTGGACTGCTATTGACTCCAATTTGCAACATACAAAATAAAAAAAGGAGAGCAATTCACTGTGAATAGGAATCATTAAAGTCAAAATAACACCCTGATTGTGATGACAACCACTTACCAGTCCACAGTGAGTTCTGAGACAGCTAAATACACACATCTCAAATGCTTTCCAGATCAACTTCTGCTGTCCTAAATGAATCATTTAAGCCACTGCTCTCAAAAATCAGCCCCTATGTGTCTAATTGAGATGGCCACAAACAGCCTGCTGTTGTCCTACCCATCCCTGACTCTCCAGGCTCTCTCACCAGCACACTCTGCAATTTATTTGGTGTTACAAAGCACAGTCCCTTTGGCCCCTCAAAAACCTATTTTTGACCACCTAGACCTAAAGAAATAAAGTATTCTCTGCAATGTTAAAAGCAGTACACTTTTACAATGCACAGAAGAAGGCACTGCTTCTCCAGCTGTTTCCCTGAATATATCTGCAGCACAGACCCAATCCTCACTGCTGGGCAGCAAATTCTTGTGAAAGGGGCAAATAACAAAGCCCTGAACCACACACAGTTTTGCATGTTAAAAGCAGCCTCAGAAGCTGACTTGTATGAATAGAAGTAGTTGTAAAAAAGCTACCTAAAATAAAGAATATTTTGGGGTTGTCTCCTGATAACTCTAAGAAACTGTTTCTGAGTCAGCAGCTCACCTGCTGCATTCAGTATTTCCTTTGAAAAGGGACAGAAAAGCAGAGCTGTGGTTGTGTTTGCTGTGAAGCAGCGAAGCAGGCTGGCAAAATGAACCAAACTTTGAATATTTTTCATTTATGCATATTTTAGGGCATTAATAAAAATGTGAATTCCATAACACGTCTTTTAGCAGGGCATTCATTTGCACCCTTCCCCTAACTAGTTGTTTATTTTCTCAAAACTTCCAGGTTGTTCATCTTCTGGGCATCTCTACCATTTCTGCCAATTGTGGGTGAAACTCAGAAGGGCTTGAAAAGTTATCTAAGGACAGAGGACAGGTACATACACACAAAAAAAATGTGTGAGAAAAAAAATGTTTCTGTATCCATCTCTCCTGTACAACAATAACTAGATCCATGGAGAGCATCATGGCCTTGAACTTTGACTGCAATTCAACAGTACAGTTTCCTAAAGACTTTTCTGTGGATCTCTCCTGAGTTCTAGGCACACAATCCCACAACTACTGCTTAGCTCAGATGTCACAGCACCGTACCTGTCTGCCACATCCATATCCCCTTCGATCTTGTTGAGCCCCCTCATGATGTTATCGAACTGCTCGCCCTGGTAATGCAGCACTTTGGCGGTGTCCTCCAGCCGTTTCTGCGACCCCGTCAATAACCCCGTCAGCTCCTTCCCCTTCGTTGTCTGCAAAGCTGCTGCTTCTGCCCCCGCAGCACCTTGGCTGGACAGCAACTGCTCCCTCCAGAAGTGCTCGAGGATGTTGAACACCACATTCCTGCTGGGCTGCAGGGAACTGAACCAGTGCTTGGTGTTCTTCTCCAGGATGGTCAGAGAGCTGAAGATTAAATTTGAAGACTCCTTCTTGATCTCGCTGATGCTGGAAAGGTGGAAGTTGACCAAGAGCTCCCCGGTCTTGTCAGCTGTAAATTTGATCGCGACAGGAGTCAGCGAGAGCCTGCCAGAGACCCATTGTTTGTTGGTGTCCAAGTAGTAGGAACAAGGCCAGCTGTGGATATTTATGTCTTCGTTCATCAGCTCGCCGTTCAGAGCCTCCTCCACGAGAGCAACGCTTTCAAAGCCAGGAGAAACTAGAGTGAGAGAGGAAAAAAATAAATATAAGCAAGAATCCTTAACAACAGGCAGTGCTTTCACTGTATCCTTCTAGATACGCACACAAGAAGGATTTGAAAAGACCTGCGGGTACTTTACAAGATTTGGTTACCATTTGAGTGTTTCCCTCAGAAAAACTCATCCTGCCTGAACGGGGCTGTCCCCTCCACAACAGTGCTGCCTCCAAACCATACACATCCATGAAACCACTGCTCCTTCCCCTTCAAGATACCAACATCCAGGTATGTGAAAAAACACTAGGATGTCCATCCTGCAGATTCAACAGCACAAATGAAACCACAAATCACCACTGACCAGACGTCATGATCATTAAGGAGCAGAAATACCCAGTGATGCTGCTGGGAAAGCCCTGACAGACCCACAGGGAAGCTGGGATGAAAAAGATGCCACACAGGTATTGGAATATAAGGTATACAAGCACACAGTTTGCTCACCAGCATCTGGGATTCCAGCAGAAACACACGGAGCCATCACATGCCCAAGGCCTGACTTGCTTACCCCAGAACAATCTCAAGTTTGGGAAGGCAAATCCAACAAGCAAGGCAAATCCAAAAGGTAAATCCCACTCCCAAAGCCATTTCTTACACCCAAAGGGCCAGTCTGTGTCCCACAGTACCTCCTCTGTAGTGTGAGCGTTCAGCAGGAGCATTACAGACCAATTCCCTTCCACAACTTAACTCCCTGTGAGCAGCCGCTACGTAATTAGTGATTTAATTACTCGTTTACTCATCATCTCCAAGACCTTTGATGTATTACAGCATAATTTACAGATGAGTGCCGGAGCATTATCACAAGGTGTTCAGCTACCTGTATGGCATAATGAATGAAATTTAGATCTCTACCACAAAAGCCCCAGCCAGATTGATGCTGAGACTCATTACACCTTCTGATTTTGTTATGATCTAATCCCCTTAAAAAGGGGGAAGGAATCCTAATGCAACCAAAAACTAACAGACTTTTTTCTCAGGTAGTCCTGCTATGAGCTCCCACAGCACACACTTGAAATCTGCTCACATTTTCAGATTGTTGCCTCCTTAATAACCCTTAAATAGAGCTTCCTCACTCCAAGCCCAGTTCCAGTTTAAGATTTTGCTATTACTGAGGTAGGGTTTACTCACTGCACATCATAATCCACAAAATCTTTCCTTTTCAAGCCTTATTTCCATTGCAATGAGTTTCACCAAGGCATATGGAAAGAAAAAAAAAAAAAAACACAAAACTATGCAGAATTCAGACAAACTTAAAATGAAAAAGCTCAATCTGTTCAGGACGGCTTTATTAGCTACAATCCTAGCAAGTGACAAGACTTCTCGGTGTGATGTGAGCCAAACAGTGAGGTAAAGTCCACAGAAAATTGATTTAGAAAAGTAGCTACAGCCAGAAAGCAGTGACAAGTTTCAGGAAATTCAGTTTTATATCGATCATTTACTGAATAACTCTGTAATTTGGAGGAAAAACTAAAAGCTCTGCCCTTAAATCCTTCCATCTAGGAAAGGAAAGTAACTCCTCTAATGCAGTGAGGTTTGATCGAACAGCTCTCGTGAAAAGCTTTTCTTTCCCTCCAAGACTGGGTTTTGTGAGCAGCCAACGATGATAATTTCTATTTAAAGATCATTCTTTCTGCAACATAGAACAACAACATTAAACATTAATGTCATTCACAAGGAAACAGAAAAGAAAAATACCTGAATGATCAGCCAAACGTGACTACAAAGAACCACGCATCAGGAGCAGGGCTCCAGAACAGCCATAAACTGAACTGGAAAAAACTTAAGCTACGTTAGTATTGAAATCAGCACCAGGTAAAACTAAATCATGGAGTTAGAGCTTTGTTAATTAGGAACTACAAATCCAGAGATTTAGGAACTACAAACCTAGAGCGTTTAACTGCTTGAAGCTGCCTAGGTTTCGACACTGATGTTTTCCTTCTATAAAAACACTTTCAGAAGTATTATCATCTCCCTTGCTCACATTACACACTCAAAGGTTTTAAATTGCCATCCATTTAGCATGTTTTAAGACGTGAATACAGAGTATTTGAGATGCATATACAGTCACACAGATTATCGGAGTGCTCTCAGAACTTCCAGGAACAGTGATACGATAGCAAACAAAAAATAAATCAAAACAAACATCTCGTATTACAACTCCTCATACCCTACACACACTGCGAAGGTACTGGAGGAGCTCCTATCAGACCCAAGGGAAAAACAAAAAATCAGCAGCAATCAAGAGTGCATCATGTTCAGGACCAACCCTGACACCACCCCTACCTACCCCAGCAGCATGCAACTGTTTGCTACTTACACCTTTTTCAGGAAAATCTCCTAAATAGCAGCATGCTGCTCCCAAGCTGTTTCCCCAAAGTGATATTTTATAAATAATGCTGAAACGGTGACACTGAAAGATTACAAATCCTGCAGAGGATCACAAGGGAAACCTGGAAGCGAAGGCAGGTTGCTCAATGCTGGGACAAGCACGGAGGAACAAAATGTCATCTGAAAAACAACTCCCAGACCTTGCTACCAGTACCAGCCACCTAAAATAAGGCACAAACATACTATGGAGGCAAGGAGAAGTGGTAAACAAGCAAGCAACCCTTAAACTTCTGTAAAATCTCAGCCTAGAGCCAATTTTCACAGGCTAAGGGTTCACAAACCCACCCTGTACAGACAGCATTTTCTCTCGAGCCTGCTCATTACCAGAAATAGATGTAGAAATATCAAATCCCACAACTGTGCCATACTAACAGGCTCCTTACCTCTATCTGTAGACACAGAACTCTCAGGGCAGCGTCACGGGAGCTGCTATCTGTACAGAACCAGTCTATCTCTACATAGATATTTTTTTTCCCCTGTGTATTTCTCTTCAACGTCCAGGAGAGCAGGTGAAAATAAAAACGGAGCTGAAGCAAAAATCCCGCTATGCCCGTTACCAGATAACACCAAAAAACCAGCAGCCTATAATCAACAGAGGAGGTGTGATTACTCCTGGATCTAAGAGTAAAAAAGCTGTCTCAGCCCAGGGGAAGAAACGAAGCAGTCACTTGACCCGTGGAGTTATACGTGTGCATGCCCTGGGTCATATGGCTTTTGACTCACCTGAGAGCTCACGGGCTTGGCCTGACAGTCAGCTTCTTTCTTAGCCCGAGGGCAAAATGCCCAAGCAAGAACCCATTTGGTAATCAAGCCCCTTCACTGTTCCAGCATGTTTTTCCTCGATATAATGGTTTAACTAGCACTGGATCTGCACAACCTCCCCCCGAGACAAAAACATTTAAACATGCACTTCACTTACACAACGTCAGAATGATTTTATTCAGTAACAAAAACACAGACATCAATGGTACAGAACGCAGCTACTGTTTAAGAGCTTTCAACAGCGCACTATAATTTAACACAAAGCTTCAAGGAGCCTGCTTTTAACACCAGTAAAATCCCTCAAGTGTTGAACACAAGGAAATGGTCACGGGCACCTGAATTTAGCTGGAAAAAGGCATCAAATCTGTGCTTTACCTGTGACACCCACACTGTGTCTTCTGTCTGTCTGATGGGTAGTAGCCTGTGATCATGTTTCCTGAATGACTAAAAGAAAATATATTGTTATCCTACTGTTTTTGTAGCTCCACTGTCCTGAACCTATATTAGGGAAACTTCTCTTCAGTCTCTACTAGCAGCATCCTCCCTTTTATGAAGAACACTTGTCCTCTGCTTAGCTTCCCTCTTATTAGCTTAACTTCCCTCTGATTAGCTTGTACAGCAGCTACACGGAGGACACCTCATTATACTTGAGCTGTGCACTGAAAAGCACTGTTAAATACACCAGCTTCATCTCCAATGTGAACTGTGAATTCACTGCTGAATGCTAAATAGCTGTCCTTCAAAATCAAGATTTTTTTTTCCCCCCGTTTTCTAAATGTGAAATTCAGCATTACGCTGCTCCCCATTTCTATTCCTTCTAAAATAGGTCTAGAAACTCCTTAGCGACAAGACGTGGCATTCATGGTTCTGGAAACACACTGAAAAAAAGCCTCAGGTGGAATAAAATACACGTTCCAGTGTTCCCACCCAGAAAAGTAACAATGAACAGAGGTAAGCAAGTCACTTATATTACCATGAAAATGACTCAGATGGCAGAAAACAAACAAATGGCTTTAAATTACTCATAAATACATTCAGGAATAGGTTCATAAGGGTTACGGTGCTTGAACTGCTTGCTGTGCGTGCAGTGGAATAGGAGGAGCCACCTGAAGTGATTTCTCAATGAATTCCTTCATTTTGCCCACATTTTTGTCCACACCACAGGTAACACAGGCAGTTCTGCCCAGCCTGGGCTCCTCAACATCACACGATTCACCTTCTGCTCTACTCTGCCAACCAGCTTTTTTGGGAGGAGAAGAGACAACACAACATTTGTCTCCCTCACACAGCAGCACAACAGCCAGCGAGAACCAGGCTCAGCAGCAAAGAAACGTGGATTATATTTCTGACAGTGTCACCACAACATCGTGCACATTCTTCAGCCAACACGTCCCAGTGGCTGGTTTCATAAAGACAGTGACTCACCCTCTCTTGTGAGGTGCTTTGAGAACACCTAATGAAACGTAAGCATTACTAATTGCCCCAGCATTACTAATTGCCCAGCTGCGAGGAGATGCTATATACGTTGTGAGACGGCACTGCCAGCTCACCCCTCCACAAGGTGCCTGCTTCAGAGCCTCCAAAACTCAGAGATTCCCCTCACCTGCACTTGCAGATTACCTGCAGGACATTACTGTACTTGTTTCTAACACACATCACTTCTTCTCTGTCTTCCTTCCTGGAGGAGGCTTCCATAGGGTCAGTATCTTTGAAGGTTTATTCCCACACGGCACCATCCGGCAAACCATGAGTTCTAACAGCCCTGTGAGCCCAACAACCCTCATAAGAAAAACATCCAGCATAAGAAAATGCATCCA